CTTTTTGTATGGAATCTTCTGTTGTTGTCTTGACCTTAAATTGTGTTGCTGTTATCAATGCTCGAATTTTCACTTTGTCTCACCTTTCCCGAAGTAAACAAAACAACAGCGAAATGACACACGTGCACTTGACAAAAAACTTTCAATTCGGAGCAACAATATCTATTTTATTGTTGATACTTTGTACATTTCTGAATGTTTTGCGTCCAAAGTTCCAATGTGTTCACGATTAGAAGCACGTTCGTGTCGATTTTCGCTAGGGGAATATCACGCAAAAAATTCTATTGAATTTCTATTGATTTTTGCATTTTCTAAAAATTAATTCCAATTATATTACATTATGCGAGATATCTGAGATTTTTTTCATTTTGGTCGATTTTTGCAGATATTTTAATGCTGGAAGTGGGTTTTGGCGGATCCTCAGGATCGTTCAGAACTGCTCCCGATTCTGGAAGTGGGTTTTGGTGGATCTTCAGGATGGACCAGACTTGGTTTGACAATGCCCTGGCCCATCCTGAGGATCCACTTCCAGAAGCGGGAGCAGTACTAAACGATCCTGAGGATCCACCAAAACCCACTTCCAGAATTTTTGAAGCGGTAATGACGTCAGCACATGGTGAATATGAGTGAATAATACAGATTTTGCGAAATATTTGAAATAGCTTAGATTTCATTAGATTTTAATGAAATAAATGAGATAGAAATAAGTTTTGCGAATAAAAATTGCGTGATATTCCCCTAGGATTTTCGTATTGGCAAGAAAAGTTGCAAACGTTATGCAATGTCACGACAAATGCATATTATATTTTTAGTACGTTCGAAATAATTAAAGTTACAATGTACTTTTGAATTAGTTTCGAGACGGCGATCAGAGAGAGGGAGGGAGGGAGGTAGAGAGCGAGGGAGAAAGAAGGTGAGACAGAGAGAAACTTTCAATGATTAACAAGGGTTGAAAATTGCCTAGTTCAGCATTCAGTCTCAATGCCATGATACACATCTAGCGTGTGACTGTGCTCGGTGTGTGCGCTCTGCACCGTTCACACCCATTTCAATTCACATGTGATTTGTTTACTCGATGACAAACCTACTATTTCAGTCTGTTTCACAATCGGCTGATCAGTCGCAGCGTCGTCGTCGTCGTCGTCGACATTGTCGCTGATATTGTTGTCGACTTTATTTCAACACAAAGTTAAAACGTTTTTGTTTCCAATTATATATCGTTTTTTGTAAGAAAGAAAAAAAAACGAGCAAATTGTAATGTATATTCAGACAATTAGGATTTTTGCTCGAAAGATCTGACGACGGATTACGATTTACAACTGCAAATGAAATTAAATCGAGTAAAAATAGACTAGCGCATGAACAAGATTCAGAATTGAATTAGACTAAAGATCTGACAGTTGTTATAAATCATTCGATGTAATTAATCAAGATCCAAATTAAATTCCGACTCTATAAATTATTATCGAACGGCCAAGAGCCAAACGTATGTGTATTTTCTGCGCTTATTGTCTTTTAATATAATTTTTTTCTTCCGAAAATAAACCCGTTGCGCAAATTACACCCGATATTCTAAATCATTTCATCGAAAAATGCAGCGCAAATGAATGCGACTTTGTTTTAGTGTGGTACGAGGTGAATGACCGGTTCACAATAGATATGTTTGGCATTGCAACTTGTGATTGACACAAAAGGCGTGCACACCACATTAAAACAAAAATTCGAATCAATATTTGTACGAAACGAAAAGACAAGAAAACACATCATAAAATAGTATAATTAAAAATTAATCATGGTTAAGCCACGCCAAGCCAATTTTCAGAAAGTAAATCATGCGTGACGATCGCCGCTAACTAAAACAAAACACGCACCATGGTTATATATATCGTGAAATCTGTTGAAAAAACAACGGGTTTTTTGTCGTGGTTGTTGTTGTTATTGTTTTTATCGGTGCTGCCTTAACATACCTTTGCATATCTTTTGCCAAACACAGACATAAAAAAAATTAATTGTGTATTTTGATGATATACGAACCGGTTAATATGGATTTATTTAAATAACTTCTTATCTATCATACATTATTCTATCATAACGTATATTCCGCCTTTTGTTTGAACAGAAGGAACAAAAATGAAAAGGAATGCCCTTATAGTCGAACAAACGTCGAAGTTGATAAAACATTGGTCGTACCTGATAAGCAGACCGTTCGTTTCGGATTGAATTTTATGTTTGAATTGTTGTCTGTCTCCTGATAATATTTTAATTGGAATGGCGATTATGTGTGTAAATAAACGAAAATCAATCGTAAAACCGATTATAGGCCAAACCCAAGTCATTTGATTGCTGTCGATTTTGTGTGCCGCACAAAAACAAAGAACACGGAAATTGATCTCAATTCTATTTGAATGACAAAACGAAGAAACAAAAATTGGTTTTCCATTTTTGATAAAATGACACAATGCTTTATATGATGCCCGTATATGATAAGGATGTTATGTTTCGTGATCAATCCAATTCAAATGTAGCAGCAATTTCGAAATTGTATTTTTAGTTTCGATGACAATGGAACTCGTTTCTGTCTCTCTCTCTCCCTCTTTGAATCTATTACAATAGATTCTGACTGGTTGGAAACAAAGAAGTTGAAATCGAATATCATTTGTATTGCATACATTCATCATTTCAACCTTAACGCATTCAGTATTATGAATCTAATCTAACCTTGGTGCAATACATGCACACAAAACCAATGCCCGAACTCTATATGTGACGAATAGATTGAACGCATATTAGTGTGTTGTTTGCTGCTAGTTTTTCATCGAACAGGTGTCGCATGGATAACAAGCTATCGTCTAGTGGCAATAGTCAAAGCTATGCTTCTTCCACTACGCCGTCGTAAACATATTATTTCGTATTTTTTTAATGATTTATCATGTTTTGAATAATTAGGCAGTCATAAGATTAGGCGTGTTATTTTTAGTGGTGATTGGCCGAAGTAGCTCCGTCTTCATGGCGTCAATTTTCAATGTCCGCATTTATAACGAACCAACATTTCAACGTGCGAAATCTCATTAAGACATTTCAATGATATCGTTGAGGTTTTTTTTTTCATTTTGGATTTCTTAATGTTTCCAGCCATTAATCTTGAGTAAAGTGCTCAATGCTTCCTTCTTACTAATTCACTTCCTCGGCCTCACTTCATTTCTTATTCAATTGTCATGGCATTTTTTTTTGTGTGATTTGAATTTGCGTTATTGAAATTTCAGTTTTTTGCTTTGATTTTGGATTTTTGGTAGTTCAATTTGATTTTTGCTTTAATTCAATTGGTTTCGCTTTGACCTGAATCTTGGTCTTTAACCCGCAATTGTTTACATTTTTCTTTCTGCCTTCAAGAGCGAAATTAAAACTCTTCAAAAACAAAGACGTTGAAATAATGAGCATGAATTTTGTTAATCATAAAAAGGCTTTAAGTTCTTTTTTGGTTTCAAACCACTTTACAAACGCCCTTTTTAGCAAACTGCGGCTTTGTTCAACCGAAAAAAGCAAAACTTGGTTCAAACCGCGATTTTCGGGATTTTGTTTGAAAAACCGCGATTTTGCTGGAAAAAAAACAACAACTCGATTTTTTTCGACATAAAACCGACGCTTTCGTTCAAAATACTAGATAAAACGTTTTTGTTCAACGCATTAGATAAAAAAGAACGGCCATTAACGCGTGTCCCAAGTCAGCGAGATTGGTACAAAAACAATACTCGAGTGAGTGCTCGTTTTCGAAATATGGGTCATACTCAGATGTCAGAAATAAAAAAAATAACATCAAATCCAATCACATTAACCCATAACACAATGAACGAAATACACACGATTTTACGAGCTACACACAATGTATCTAAAGCAGAACGAGAGAGCGAGATCGAGCGAGTGAGTGAAGTACATATGAATTGTATGGTATCGCCCACTCATGAATCATGAATATTAATGTGTGTATAATATGTGAATTGATCGCACGTTTGTACAACAGCTGTGTATTGTGCTGTGTTGTGGAGTCGATTGTTAATTATTCCATGGGCTCATGAATTTGGCGCGTATTTTGCGCTTTCCTATGATCGTTTCTGCGTATATTATTTGTTATCGTTTATGTGTCGTGCAAATAGAGGTCTTCAAAGTGAGAAAAAAAAGCATATCATAATAATATACAGACTAGTTTGCATTGAAATCGGACGCGCGTGTGCACGTAAGATGTGAGAATGAATAAACATCGTCAGATAAAGGATACCAGTTGAAAAGAGCTGAGTGTGTGGTTTTTTTTCTCTCTCTGTTCTCCTCTCCAAAGTCGTAAAAACACTTGGCTGCTGCGATTTTGCAACGACAAAAAAACCAGCTGCAGATAAACACACCGATGGGAGAATGATTATTGGATTCGCAAAGGGAAGACAGAACGAACGTTGAAGAGACACAGATAAAATCTTCTGATTGGATTAGTGCACGTATAGTGTGTGTATGTTATTCAGACAAAGATTGTTGTTTCTGTAAAATTTGTCAGCACAAATGAAATTATAAATTGCTTGCATTCGAATGATATATTATAGCAATGCACTTAAACAATGTCAAGAACAAAGAACGACGACGGAAAAAAAACAACAATTTTATACCGAAATCGTTGTTAATAACTTTGGAGCTTCGTTAATTCGTTGGTTCAAAAGAACAAATAATGAAAATAACATACACACAAATTATTTATGATTGAAATCAGACATAAACACTAACGAATTGGTCGAGCAGTATGTTTTTTTTTATTTTCGGCGAAAGTATCATTTTTCACATGAAATTGCACATTTTTCTTGGATAATTAAAATCGATATATGCGATCGAGACGAAAATAAATATGCTTGGAATTTGGGCTTGAACAAAACGAGATTTTTTCTTTCTTCAAAATATGAAATTATGAAAAACAGCAACTACATACAACACCAACACCAAGGGAAAAAAAAGTATCTACTTACGAATAATCCTGATTAAAGTTTATAGAAAAGCCATCATTTTGTTCCAAACACTTTTCAGTTGATTCACACATTTAAAATAGATCGTCGGGGGTCGTTCCGTTTGGGTTTATTTATATTGGAATAACAGAAAAATGAATTCTGTATGTTTTCACCTCTGACGCGCGCACGAACCACACCAGCAAGAAAAATTAAAGAGAATCAGCCACCACACACGCTTACGGATACTCTACAACCGATTTCGTGCTGAGTCTCTTTTTTTCGCTGATTTATGTAATGTGTTTGTATGTTATTTTTTTTTCTTCTGTTCGCGCTCTTCTCGTCCGTTTGGCTGAATGCACCAGAGAGTTTTACAAACGCATATGATTTCGTTTTCTCTCTCTCTCTCTTTCTCTCTGTCTTCGATTCGAAGTCAAACGTAAATAATCACTTTACGTTCCTCTTTACACTTGCAGTTGGATGTTGGTTTTTATGCGCTTTTTTTTCGATTTCGCCTCAATATGCTTTTTTTCGTCTGTTTTGTCCGCTTGCAGATGTTTTGTTGTTGTTGTTGTTGTGAGTGTGTGTATTTCTCTTCCGAATTCAATGGTTCGTTGCCACAAGTAATTAAACTTTATGTTTGTTTTTTTTTTCTCTATGTAAAAAAGAGTGTTCAATCGCGCTGATATTTTTATTAGTTGTTTAAATGGCGTTGAATTCCTTATATTTGATTTTTACACTACAATATAAATCCGTCTCACTTCAGCTGATATCGATTTACACAAATAAATGAAAAATGTTCCTTTTTTCCAGTGATAAACTTGATTTGACGTAGAAAAATACAGAAATTCAAATCAAATTTCTGCGTTCAGATCGTTCAAACTTCCGCGAGGATATTCCTTTCTCTATGGTTTGCCTCAGATGTGATGTAAACAATGACCCACTGAAGCGATGAAAATCGACCACTTTTTGATCGAAACGAAGAACAACAACAAAAAAAAACCCAATGAAATTGTTTTACGTGTAAATCACCTCGGCTCAGTATTCGAACGGGGCACAAACTGCAATTTTTCACAAACAATTTGAAATAAAGAATGATCTTTGAAATTGGAAATAATCAATTGGAAATGAAAAAAAAATAGTACGTTGTTTACACTTCGGACGCTTTTACTGTATTACTGTACTGGAGTTGTGTGATTTGTGGTTTTTTTCACTGTTGTGTATGACTGTGGCTGTTGTTGTCGTTGTTGTTGTTGTTGTCGCGTTTTTTTCTGCTTTTTTACTCGTTTGCTTCAAAACAGCAGCTTCTGCTCTCTTCATCAGTGTGGCGAATGATAGACGGTTGTTTTCTTCCTTTCTTTCTCTTATGGCTTTTTGTTCAATGGTCTCTCATGCACACACTCAGTATATAAATACAATTCCAGCTGATCGAAAAACATCAACGATTCATGCGTGTGTGTGAGTGCGCGTGTTTCAACCGAATAAACAACAGCTTCATTGATTCGCTTCGCATTTACACAAGGAATTAAGACTCATTCAGATGATCTTGTGTTTTGTTATGTTTAAGCAAATAACATTTTTTTTAAATATTGTCACAGCCACATTGAAGTAGTTTCCGTTTAACACACATATTTTAATTGGGCTCATTAGATGATGTAAACTTTGCACAGTTTGCGAAAAGTTTGTTCAAACGATAAACTTCATAATGTTCAGTGATGATGTAAACGAGACATTATCTACTGCGCATGTTGGGTGTAGCATATACACATCGTTTGAATGTGTGCAACTGACTGCCTTGTATCCTATCATACTGACTGTCTTTGTTTATTTCGAATCTATTTGAATCAAATGTGTGACTGTGTGTATTTGTTCGTTTGACTATGTTGCATTTGTCTCGCTCCAACATTTTGGCCACGATCGAATCGACGATAGTATTAGACAACGAATCGAAACTAGAACATAGAACACAAGTTCGACAAGTTTGAAGCACACAAACCAGCGCACAAAAAAGCAACAATTTATTCGCACTTAATTGATGTAATGGATCGGATATGTGCGCTATTGTTTCATTAATAAATATTTATTTTTGCACGTATGAACTGGAATCGACTGGCATCGACCATAAACAACGACGGAAAATTTGAATTTACAACCATTGCCCCACACTTAACATGATAATAAAATGTTCTAAATTTATTGCACTTCAATGGCTCCTCCGACTGATTCAATTGCCCATTAATAAATATGCATTAGGCAATTCGTTTTATGTTGTAAGCGAACGAGTCAATTCAATAAATAGGTCACATTAAATACCATTCAATAGGTCAAAGGTTATTTTGCATCGATTGGTGTAACATTGTCCGTTAATTGGGTACTTTGTTTCATTCGCTGGTTTTATTTACAACAATTCGTTGCAAACTATGATGGTGTTAGTGTCATTGAATGTGCTTTTTTCGCAACACCTTTTCTTAGCGCCGTGTGAATTTTATTGCCCAAAATACTCATAAAGTATTCATCACCGTAATAGAGTATTCATTACCTTTGTCGAAATTGTTTCGACTCGAAAACCACTTTTCGTCGACCTTTTGAAACTTGAACCACTCGGTTTCATCTACAAGGTTTCGTGCACAGCTGCAAACCATTCAACGCACCCGTTTCATTCGGTTCAATTGGCAATAGATGGCGCCGCGGTATGCACATGAAATGGAACCGTTGTCTGTCTAATCAGAATTTTCCGTATCAAATTTCACATTTGCAATTATGTCTGAGGCGAGAACAAGTGGAAGATAGAAAATTGAACATCTTCAGCAAAAATGAAGAAGCAGGGTGTGTGTACGTTTTTTTCTTCCTTTTCTTCTTTTTATTCTTAGAACAGCAATTGCTGTCGGCGTAGGCGAATGGATATTCAATACAGTCTTTCGTATGCGTGTGTCAAAATTCAAGTTCAAAACATAAGCGCATAAAGCACACGACGATTTTTCCATTAGTTTGGTTCGTTTCGGCGTTTTGATCAACAAATCATCATATCCATAAAAAAAAAAATGGTGAGAGACACACAACGAAAATCGAATCAAATTTCTTCCATAAATTTTGGTTATTTATTTTTATTTGTGTGTTATTTCATAGTTTTATATATTTTTATGATAATTGTTATTACGATTTACAATCAATTGCATACAAAAAAGCGACGACACACGATGAATGCCACCATTCTCTCTAGCTCACTGGCAAATGAGCAACGGATCGTAGCTCTTTTTCAGGTTCTTTCTCTCTCTCTCGCTCGGCTTTTCATTTCCATTCTTTGTTTCTCACTCATTCAGTCGCTGCGGTTGTCGAAACGCGCTTTTCAAAGCTGAATGACGAGAAAACAAACAAAATGCCATTTGATGAAAAACGAATTTATTTATTATGTCTCCCTGTGTGTGTGCTTGTGTGAAATATATTTCACGGCAGCAGCAAATAGTTTGATTCGATTTTCTATGGCATTGATAGAGAGAGAGAGAGAGACAGGCGAGAGCGAGTAACAAAGCGAGAGAGTGAGTGAGTGAAAGAGCGTTTGCGTTTTCGTCTGATATAAATTGTGTGCGTTCCATTCTCGATGTGATGTGCCTTTGTGCCATTATAATGGATATGTAATTTGATACTATTATCATAACAAGAAAAACTTTTTCGGTTTTACATTAAAAGCAGAACACGCTCACATATTTGCGATGTGTATCTACAACAGCATTACATCGGTGAAAAATACCCCGTTTTTTTTTTTTTTCGTTGGTATGTTGTATGTACAACATGACGATGGATCGTATCGAAAGTACATACAGATATCGTCGTCGTTGTCGTGCAATCGGTTGCAAGTTGATTTTATTTTTTTTTTTTCGCTACGAAATACGATCGAAATCGAGAGCAAATCGTCCAGAGTAAGAGCTTGTGTATTTGGACGCGTAGAAAAATTTGTGTTTTGGCGTCTGTTTCGGTTGTTTTATTTGCATTTTCGTTGTTAACTATTTGTTGTGGCAGATATATGTATGTATGTGTGGCATTGCAAAGCGTTAGATTGCCACTTTGGACACGGCATGCTGGATGGAAGCAAAACGATGAACCGATAAAAAAAAACAATGCGGAGAAATCGGAAAAGAATTGCAGCTTGTATCTTGTGTACATTTGGAGATAGCTGAAGAGGGTTAGTAAACAAAACATGTGCGACTTTTAAGTGCCTCACAGAAGTATGTAAACAAAATCGATTGTTTTTAATTGATCAACGACGATTTTTCACTCACACTCGTCTCGTCCCGTTCTCTCTGTCTCTCTCTCTTTCTCTCTATTCGCCTCCTCGTCTCTGTCTTTCGTAATGGGCTCCATAATGTCCCGAAAATGTACGTTTTTCCCATGCAATGACCATCGATCGCTCATAATGTCTTAACCCATTTCGCAAATCACTCTGTTCGATCAAACATTTTCGGCACTGATAATAAATAAGTGTCATATGATGCGACATACGGCGCATGTTATTGCCCTTTTTTCTCGCTCTCTCTCTCTCTGGCTTGGTCTGGTTGGTGTGTGCTTTTTGCTGTTTGTGTGCATACTGATGTCTGTTTAAACAGCGTTCCTTTTTGGAATTTCATCGACATCGACGACGGCCACGAAGACGATGACGACGACCAGAAAGAGAAAAAATCAGTGAGTCGAAGGAAAAGGTCCGAGCACATGTATGCGGCCTAAAGTAAACAAGGCAGCAGCGATTATTCATCCACTCTATTTTGTATACATATTATATCCCGAAAAAAAATCAATCGAATCAGCTTCAGTTTCTTATAGTTTTTATGGTTTTTCTCTTTGCTCTTTCTCTTTCTTTTTCTTTCTCTTGCCTCTTCTTTCTTCGTCCGATTTGTTTTGTGTCCTCAACGCTTTTGCTTGCTGACAAGCCATACAAACGCACACACGCTGGCTGCCTCTATACTTTGATAGTGAAGAGAGAGAGAGAAAAGGCGGTAGCACACACAGCAACAGTCCCAGTTCGTATATTCGTTCATGCCTCACAGTCTCTCGGTCTCTCGTCATATCGAGCTAGCGAGCGCGCGATAGACACTGCTGCTGCTGCTCCTCTGCTGCTATATCGTACAGCATTCGAAATTTGATCAGTTGCACACTGTCTTTGGAATCGAATGGTACACGTCGCGCACACATCCAGCGCACATGGGTTTGATTAAAAACCATTCGTCCGTGTGAAATCAGTTTCGTTTCTGATAAAGAACAGAAAAAAAAAACAAAGTGGAAAAAAGAACAAAAGCAAAAATCATCATATGCCAAGTGGTTTTAAATCCTAACGACACCAAATTAACGGAAGAGGCTAAAATAAACGGAAAAAAGTTACTAACACATACACAAAAAAGAAACATTGATAAAATTAGTGAATCGTAAATCGCGATCAAGGATATCAAATCTATTATAAGGTGAATATTTTCGGAATTTCGTCCAAATTTTCGATCGAACTCATCGATCTCAGGGGCATTTGTTTGTGAAATTGGTTCATGTTTTTTGCTTCGGTTGATCATTTCATTCAAGTCGAAAGTTTTGTTTGTAAATTGTGCAAGCGGCAAATTTGCCGTAGTCATCATCGTTGTTCTCAATTTTTCTGTTTGTTTGTTTGTTTGTTGGATACTCGATTCAAACTCATTCTCGCGATTTTGATTCGTACAAGTGAATTACGCGCACCGACTCTCCGTAATGTATACATTTCAATGAGTCCGGGGAAAAAAATCAGTTATTTTTGGATTGATCAGTCACACACAGCAATTTTTCCGCTTCAATCGCGCGCGGCTTTTGCAACGAGAAAAAAAAGACGCCGTAAAAATCACGTATAAAATATCAAAAAGTACGACGGAATTTAATATGTTTGTGTGTTGTGTGCTGCATCGTGCATAAACATTTGAAGAAAATTGAAATGCGAGTACAGAAAACAAAAATAAGAGAAGCGCGAATGAACAGAAAAACACACACACACACACACACATTCATTGAGACGAGAGCGCGAGCAAAGGATTGCAAATCGGAGAAAATAATGGGCAAAGTGTCGCAGACGAAGTAACGTGCGCACAGCATACAGCACACGGCACACGATAGACAGAGAAAGCGAAAAGTTGTGACTGCAATTTGTTCTTTTTATTCTCTTCTCGTGCATTTGCACGCCACCGTTTTGAAATCAGCGATTTCATTACAACCCATTTCATAAACCAAAACGTCGCTCATGTTCTGAGTCTCATATTACTAATTTTGTACGCACTCACTCTCTCTCTCTCTCTCAATTGCAGCGATCATAATTTATAAAATGTGTTTATTTATAAAATTTAATCGATCGTGTAAACTGCGCGCTTGATTCGCTTGATCGTTTGTTTAGTGTGCGCTTGGCGAGAGCGCGCATTTCGTTTCGTGGAAATTCTTTTCGCCGTTGTTTGCATAATTTTCTTCGTCTTCCATTGACCAGGCAGGCGGGCGTGAAGTGCGCGCGCACGCACCAATGCTCCGTCTTCCAAGAAATTTGTCGAAAGAGAAATGTGAAAAAATTAAATTCTTTTCATGTTGCAAGTTGGTTATTCTCTTTTATTCTCTCGAAAAGAACAAACAAATTGAAAGAAAACTAAGGATTTCAATAAATCTCTTAGTCCTCATTAAAATATAATAAATTTTCCGCCGTGCGCCGGGTGTGAAGATGTAAACTGAAACTGCCATAATATCCAAAAAATATACAATGATGAAATAAAAAAGTCAACGACAACAACAAAAACGACACCACCACCACCAACAACAACACATCGTTACAGTTATACGCCTCTTTCTCTTGGGTGTCATTGCGCATATCGGTGGATTTTGATTCTATTATCTTAGAATTTTCCTGCGGCAAAAGCAAACATAGAGAGACTGCAGAGAAAGAAAAAAAGAAATACAAAACAAATGCCGGACGAGTGACAATTGAATCCCGTAATGGAATCACACCGAAAGCCGCGCATTTGAAACGGGATATCGATAAAACATAGAGAAAAGTAAACATAGAAAGACAGCACACAAACATAAGGCGAAGAGCGAGCAGCAGCAGCATAAAAAAAAGTGCTGAAACCTAGCAAATATTCAGAAGAAGAATCAGAAACGCATCAGTAGCACCGTTTTTATCAGGGGAATAGTCACTCCTCTTCGAAATAGATATGCCACACAATCTTTTTTTTTATTTCACCACAAAAAAAAGCCAAACCATTATTTTTTTTTCCTCTCGCTCTTGCTCTAGCTCTCACCGTAGAATCGTTAAGTACTTGATAAATTCAATATATATTCGTTCATTTGTGTTCTCATTTAAATTCATGTGTGTCGCGAGCGCGTTGCACAGCAGTGAAGCTACGCATAAGCGTCGATCTTTGTTAATTTTATTTCCAATTTTCGCTTGCCTTCATGGTGGTGTGTATTCGTACGTAGAGCGTAGCCGTTGCTGCTGCTCATATATAGATAGATTTATGTGTTGTTTTATTCGTTCGGTTTTTGTTTTCCGATGTTGTTTTCTGAAATTGAAATATGATACTTTGAGCGGATTGACAGTGAGTCTACGGCTACAACAACAAAACGGCTTCAGTGTGACGGTTTTTTTGTTTTTTTTTTTTCTTTCATTTTATTGCACACATTATGTATATAAGTAAAACGGAATGCCGTGAAGATTGTTGAAAGAGGCCACCATCAGAAAAATATCACTGTTAAAACGCACAGAGGAAGAGAAAAAAAAGACACACACACACAGCACACACAACAAATTATGCGAAAGAACAAAAGAGACATCACATAAACACATCCTCAAAAACTTTGTCGTCTTAAGACACAACTTTTGACGTGCACAAAAGTTGCCATATGGAATATTCAAAATGAAAAGAGTAGAAAAAAAATGCACAGAGGAAAATGCGAGCATTTCTAAGTTGCCAACACAAGAGTGAAAATGCTACACGACGCACCAACACACATTTCATCATGATGATCAAATAACCAAAGAGTTCAATTTGGCACTCACTCGTCCGTCCATTCGCTCACTTGCTCACTCTTTCTTCTCGAGTCTCGGCCATTTCCTTGGACGAACACTTTTAGTCGCCTTGCTCCATTTTCTCCCTTTTTGGAGTCGATGTCGTTTAATTGTAGAACGAGCCGAGCTAAAATGAACGTAAACCCTTAGCCAAGTGCTAGTGTATCCACTGTGTGTGTGTTTGTGTGTATGTATATACATTTTCCTGTGCCTGATGTGATACTCGAAACGCATTTTGGCTTCAGCTTATTTATTGTTTGTTTGGTGGTTTACCTCTTGTTTTGGTTATACGTAAAAAATATTTGATTGGATGAAACTTAATATCCAATCGACAACCTGCTTATCGACGTCAAATTCAATGAATATAAAACCGTTTGCATGAATTACAACAGTGAGCATTGGACGACGATGACGATGTCGTCGTTGTCATCGTTGTCGTTGTTGGCGGCGGCGATGGCAGTGGCGGTGCGTTCAAGCCGAATGAATGTACCGACGAGCGAGCGAGCAAGAGCGAGCGAGCAAGAGCGAGCTAGCGAGAGAAAACCGAGCAAAATGTGTGTTGTACTCACTTTGATTCGGTTCAGTTCAGTTTTCATTTACATTGTCTCAATTCTTTTTATGCTTCTTCTTCTTCTTCTTCTTCTTATTCATTTCAAGTGCTTTTACTTACTGACTAACTTTACTCTGCTTCGATAGAGATGCATATCAATTTCATAGTTGCTGGATTATTCAAAGCACGTAGCATTGCAGGTAGTGTTGGTAGTAGTTTAGCACAAATTTGCTATAGTTCTCTGTGTGTACAGCTACCAACCGAGTACCTCATATCATTCATCATCACATACCTGTCGATCGCATCTAATGTGTACATCTCTCTCTCTCTCTCTGTTCAAAACAGCAAAAAGCACAATACATTCGAGTGCATATAATTGCATTTTATCCTATCAATTCAATCTAGATCACCGTTTTGCATTAGTTAGATTGTCGGCTTTTCTCATATCGTTGTAACAACAAACACCAATCAAAATCGGATCATAGGCATTGTGATACTGTTGCAAACCTTCTTCTCGCTCTCGCTTTTGCCCCGTGTTTTACTGCGCTCTCTTTCTTCCATTCTCTGCCTCGTTCTCTTTCTGTGCCTCTTTTTATAGACTGAAGGAGGCCTTTTCAATTCTAAGTTCTTTCCAACATAACAATGCCACCGGATTAGATTAATTCCATTTTCGGTTTATTGTTGAAATGCGGTCATTCATAAAATGTTTCGACATTTTTTCTGCTGCTGCTTCTGTTTAGCAAAAAGTAAGAAATAAAATGTGCAACAAATACACACAAAAGCTAAATACCAACGCACTAAACTCAACAATTTGTACCGTCTCTTGTGCATTTTGAGGCTAAATCATCTATTGTTCTGGAATATTTCCGTTTTTGCTCATTTTTTTTTTGCCGCTGCTGATGCGTTCGGAAACCATAGAAAAGCCAAAAAGAAGTCTAAACACGCATCGACTTATTATTAGATTTTTTTTTTCGACAGCCAGTGATTGAAGAAAATAAGAACATGAAAAGACCATTCGATTTTTGTGAAAAAAAAAAAAACAAAACAAAACGAAAAACAGTGAAAAAACATAAGAAATAATACAGGAAAAATGAAAATCGACGGCGCACTGCGTAACGATGTGTGTAGCGCCGGTAATTTTGGCATTAAGTCGGCAAAAATTAATTTACTTGTTGAGGTTTATATGCTTAGGGGGAGAAGAAAAGAAAAGTACATAACACGTATCGGTTGAATGAAAAAATCAACTGGAGTCAAAATTATAATACACCTCAGACAGCAGCATTTTTGAAGGAAAAAGAACCACACGCACAATAAATATTAATCACTTAAGTCAACACAACAACAAGAGCAGAAGTTGAGAGAAAAAAAATTGCATGTCTGCAGCTAATAATTTGCTATTTGATTCACGGCAGGCATCGAATGGCACCGTAAGGATTAAACGCAGATAAAACAAAAACACAAAACGGCAACCGAGCAACAACAAACTCTGTATGGACAACGACAATTGCAACCGAAATTACAGAATGTTAAATGTACAAGCACATTCACATAATATGGAACTGCCGCCGATGGCCAGTACACATGACACCACCGTCGGCCGTTGTTCACCGCTGCTCAGCTCCGGCGTCGATTCAAAAGTCAATTTTATATTCACACAAGAACAAGTTGAATGCGTCTGTGAGGTAAGTGTTAAATTGAATGCGCCACCCCGCTGAGTATTTATGTGATTTTGAATATTGACAATTTTATCAACACTTTCAATCTCCTTTATTTGGTCGAATCATAAACATTTTTCACATTCCACATAATAACTGCGGTGGATTCTCACCCGCTCCGCTCACTCTCTCTCTCTCTCTCTCTCTCTCTCTAAATCAATAAAATATTCAAATTATTCAAATTGTTTAATTGGATTAAAGAATGCATTTTGGGCTCTATTTTTCGTGTTTTGTTTCTTTCTAACATGGCTTTTGTGTGCTCTTTTTTATTGTCTCTCGTTTGGTTTCGCTTTTGGTATGCTGTAGGTATTACAACATTCGGGTAACATTGAACGGCTGGGTCGTTTTCTGTGGTCGCTTCCACCCTGTGATAAACTGCAATTAAACGAATCCGTCTTGAAAGCAAAAGCCAGCGTTGCATTTCATCGTGGACACTTTAAGGAGCTGTACCATTTACTTGAACACCACCAATTCTCAATGCAAAACCATGCCAAATTACAGAATCTCTGGCTCAAAGCACACTATATCGAGGCAGAGAAACTACGTGGACGGCCGCTGGGTGCGGTAGGTAAATATCGTGTCCGACGGAAATTCCCACTACCGCACACTATATGGGACGGCGAAGAAACATCGTATTGTTTTAAGGTAAGACGATTCTTAGATTTCTTCAAGTTTTCTTAGTTTGAATTCAATTTATTTTCTGCTTTTATTAGAAAATTTCTTAATTTTAACTCGTTTCATTTCAAAAACTATCAAATTATTCCGTACTTTCGTTGAATAATTGTTTTCTTCTATCAAACCATTGCTTTCCTTCATTAAATCATTACTTCTCTCCTTCAAATCATGTCTTATGTTCATTAAATCCTTTTTCACATCCATTAAATCATTTCTATCCAATTCAAATTTATTTCAAACAATTTTTCTCATGAAGCACAAAATCAAGCATTTTTTTTCTTACTAAAAATAACCCTATTTTATGTGCGCAGTTTTTCGAATAAAAATCCAGTGAGATTTTGAGTTATGCGTGTGTTTTCATTTCTCAACGTTCGTCGATCCACGGCTGAATTTAATAGTGAAGAAAAATTATGATGTTATTTAACACAGTTTGACATTCGGGTCAACATTTTAAATGCGCTTTTTTCCCCAGTGGTTTACCGTGATCATAAAACAACCAAATTTATTGTTTTCCAATTGAAAACTTTAAACATACAAATCATTAAAAATTATTTCTCGGTCGTTTTTCTCGAAAAAAAAAAGAAACAAGAGTGACAAATAATTGAGGGGGTTCCCTAGCTAATCAAATTTATTATCGAATTTAGTGTGTACGCAGAGGAGAAAAATATCACTTTTCAAAATGATTGTGAAAATTGTTGACGGATGAAAAATCAACGACAACGAACGGAGGTCATGTTTAGGGTTAAACATCGTTTTCATTACCCTTTCATTGATTTTTATTAGATCAAAGGTTTCTCTTATTTAACTTCGGGAAAAAATACCGTTGTGCGTTCTGTGGTTTTTTTTCTTTCCGAAATTCCGGAAATTTTTAAGATTCTAATGCTGAAGTGAAATGTGACAAATGTAACAAATGTGAATCATCAAGGAATAGTTAGTGTGTGTCGTTTCCCTCTTGAGTTTTGTATAGAAAAACACTCAACCCAATCAGTTCGGTCCGATTGGTACATATGTGCTCAAGTTGATTCTGTGAAAAAGAGAAAAAAAAACCTAAAGAAGTGAAACAACATTTTTGGCATATTTTGAATGTCAGAAATTCTTTCCACATTTTTAAAAGGCGTTAATTTGTGAACGGCCCAAAGAATTTACACAGTTTTTTTTTCCTTTCTCATTGACTTTTATTCATAGCATTTTTTTTCTGGTTATTTTCCGATCATAACCGATCGCATTTTAAATGAAAGAAAACACTGATTATTTTTAGAAAATGAAACAATAACTCCTATTCAAAACGGAATTGTGCACACAACTCTTTTTCATAAACATGTTACTGTTTCCAAGTTTCAATATAAGTATGTTGCTGAGATGAGGGTCCTTCAAACAAACACGACGAAATGCAGTGCTTGTTCAGTGCAATTTTGTTTTAAATAAATTCGATTGTTTCATTTTTCTAAAAATAAATCGCCGTTTGTTCCGTTCCAAACGAATTCAGTGATCGAAATGACGTTAACATCGTCAAATGTTACATTCTTTGGTGTATCGAGGCCTTTCAAATGTGCAAAAATGTGAGAGAGAGAAAAAAAGAGTTGTTTCATTTCTTATATTTAAGTGACTGATTGGGTTGGATTTTCATACAATTCAAATTCAATGCGGAAACCAATTTCAAATTCCAAACAATACAACTCTTTCATTTTTCAATTGAGGCCAAATCATATGTCATTCATGTCATTCTTTCATTAGAATCTTTACAAATTTTCTATGCGATTGAATTTTGTTAAGGAAATCATACGAAAAAATTTGTGAAGAAAAAGCCCGATTTTATGAGAAACAAAATAAAATTCAACCAAAGCAAATCCATCGACAGCATTTCTGTTGTGCTTACTTCTTTTACTCTGGTAATTTTTGCCACACATTAACTCCACCCAAATGAAATAAATGTACTTCACCGTCGTCCGTCGTCCGTCGTTCTCTTAAAATCAGATAAAAAACGATTTCTTGTTGTATTTACAAACATTTCGATGAAAAAAATGATATTTCACTACCATAATCGATGACAAACTGATTGTTCAGCGATGATAAAGCCACAGATAAATTATGCACGATTCGGTTGTTCTTTTTCTCTGTGTATGGAGGTTGAACACATTGGCAACGCGCTATAAAATTAAAAATTCGCAGTTCATTAATTCACACGAATATGAAAAAAGGCGGATCGAAACATGAAGAAGACACGAATGACTGATCGAGCTTATGTTTATTACAACACGTTAAAAGTTCTTCAAACTTTAGATTGGTCGTAAAAATGGATGGAAAAAGACTGAATTTTGTGCTACTTGAGCTAAGAGAAAGAGAAGAATCGATTGAAAACTAGCAAATAGTTTATAAAATTATCTAAAGATTAGGAAATTGATCAAAATTCATGGTGCTCGATACTTGATAGACTTGAAAATACTAAAAACAGATTAACAATTATTAAAAATTATTCAAAACTAGTAAACAAAATAAGCGAAACGATGATAATTTAACATCATCTGCCTTTAAACATCTTTTTGCTCTGTCTAATTAGCCTTTTATTTTGAATAAAAATGCTTGAATTTGTGTTCTTTGTGCTCTTTAAAAAATTGTTAACCAAAAATTGTGTTTTCTCTCCATAGGAAAAATCGCGCTCAATCCTCCGTGAATGGTATGCACATAATCCATATCCGTCACCGAGGGAGAAACGCGAGCTAGCCGACGGCACCGGTCTCACAACAATGCAGGTATGTATCGATTTAAGATTAGGTTTCTAATCGATGTAAAGTTTTAAATTTCAAGTTGAATACAAGTTCAAGTCGTTCTCTTGTAGTAATAAACCAAAAAGAGTAATAACAGTCAATTTTTTTTGTTGTAAATATGAATAATTCAGTGTTTTTTCTCCCGAAAAAAAAACACAACAAGTAATAACAATTTAAATCTATTTTATTTTTAATAATATTCATTTGATTACACACAAACACAGATTTCAAATTGGTTCAAAAATCGAAGGCAGAGGGACAGAGCTGCCGAGCACAAAGAGTGAGTATTTTATCATTCAATCTCACGCCATAAATTAAAACCGTGATAAAAAAAAAAACAAATTGTTATAACATTTCTCCTTTGGATTTTTCTCTTTTTCTCACAACGATAAAGGTCTGAAGAAGTACGAATTTAAGGCCATTGGATGAACGCAATCAAAAATAAAAACGAAGAAAATCTCACATAAGTTACTTAAACAAAACAAAAAACAGAAACAAAACGGTTCATCAATGCATGAACTGAGTCTCGATTTGAATATAAGTATTTTTTAGTAGCATAAGAACACAAAGCAAACAACAAAAATCCTGAAAACATAAACAAATTGTATAGTCAATGTATCGAGCTTACCTTTGATTTGGCTAAATGAATTTATCTACTTTATTAATTTTAATTAATGCCTAAAAAGAATCGTGTAATGTTGAAAGGCCAGACATAATTGATAGATGTAAAATAAAACGCAGTTTTTGAACTGAAACAAATGCAAAAACAACAATAACAATACACCGCTCCAATTTTCATTTCATCACCTATCATCTTTTCTCTATTTATTTATTATGATGAGAAAATTCCCATTTTCCACAGAAAGAAGCGTGTGTGTATATCAAATGTCAGGCGAGTTCGTCTTCATCAGCGTTTGTATCTCTATTTGACTGGTGCATGATGTGCGCGTATCATCATACGCATAATTAAAAGACTTTTTTTACGATACTAAGTCTTTGTTGAACAGGAGATTTTCGACCAGCCAACGCAATATGCACGTGCACACCGCAGCATATCTTCCCCTACACACACCACCGAACGAAAAAAAAACACGGTAGATGTACGTACGCACGTCGCGCTCACCTTTTACTCGTTGACTCAACGTAAGCACAATTACTCTTCGAGTGCTATTCGTGATACGTGTTCTCGTTCTCTCTTTCTCTGTTTGCACTCTATGGCTTTCGTATAAATGATTTGACGTGTCAGTATAAATGAAAAGAGGTAGGCTTACGATCCGTATTTGGGCTAGGGGAGGTGCGTATAAGTTTATTCAATCAAAGGATCTCGTAATTGGATTGGATGGTAAAAGCGTATGATATTTCGACTTATTGTGTGTTTTTATTGTCATTATCTTGTTAGCAACCAATTTTTGGGCAGATAATTGAAATTATGTTTTGGTGTGGCATTGTTGTTTTTTTTTCCTCTGCTCCTCGTCTATCTCTTGACGACGACGTCAGGGACGACGGCGATGACGGCGGTGGTGGTGGCTACGGTGGTGAAAAAATTCTTATGAATTGTGTGGGAACAACAGAAGATACTAATCCGTGTAATCTATTTACAACTGACAAAGGTAATTTCTTTAAAAAGGCTCTTAAAAAATCATAAATAAATATATCATCTCTCTCTCTCTCTCTCTCTTGACCGCTGCTCTGCGTAAACATTGGCTGCCGTTCAAATGGCTGTCACTTTTTGTTCGTTTGGACAAAACAACAACAAAAGCAGCTAAACTTTCAATTCTAATTATAAAATGTGAGTAGCGATTGGTCATGAAAATCCGCACCCAAATGCCTCAATTAAACGGAACGCTTCGAAAGTATCCAGTTTCAGTGGCCTACTACTAACTATTTCAAGATCGTTCATATTATACAATGAACCTATCCTGTCCACATTTTTTTTTTCCTCTGCTCAAACTATGGCTGGTTTTTTTGTGTTCTATGGCTGTGTTGTATCTCTTCATCAACAAAATTTAAATGGTTCGTCCTGTTGAACAGTTATTACCTATTGTGAAAATGATACGATTCGTATCATATGATGGCTTCCGAAAGTTGCATCTCTCTAAACACACAAACACAGATGCACATAACACGTATTTTAAATCATTGTTATGCATTTGGAATCTGCTGCCTTTTTTCTGCTCTCTCTCTCTCTCTGTTCGTATTTTCAATTTTGAAACAAAACAAACAACAGCATATTGTTTTCCGGAATGAAATTTTCGGTGTGCATCTTTCTTCTGGCTTCACTTTGGTATTTCTATATATGAGTCTTACTCTCTCTCTATGTATATCGATGTACACATATATTTGTTGATGATTTCTCGAACGGAACGTATTCGAATTTATATTTCTCTCGTTGTCTCTCCCTCTCTCTCTCTCTCTCTCTCTCTCTCTCTCGCCTGCCATGTTTCATTACGCTGTTTCCCTTGGAATGTGCAGAGTGCGCGATATCAAATTACATGGTATAATAAGGGCGGTTCGTTATAACGAAATCAATTCGAAAACTGACGGGAATCGACCGAAAATAGAGCAACGAATTTTCATATAATTGCACGAATCATAACCATTGGCAATGGCAGCAGTGGGAAAAAAGAGGTAATTCGTCGACAACCAAAAATATTGCAATTTTATTTTAATGAACGCGCAAATCGTAAAAGCCACACAGCGCCTGTATCGTTCGTTTATTCGGCTGTTTATCCGGTAAACTTTTTGTAGGGTATCGTTGCATTTTGTTTATATATAAACCGTTTTTTTTTTCATTTTGGGGAAAACATGACTTTTTTTGTTGGAGAAAAGGGTTTCGTTTTTTCTAAAAATATTCCAATTGAAATATAAACTTCGCAACGAATTCGGTCCTGAAATTCGATACTTACGTGCAAAAAATACAAAACCGGCTCAATTTTCAACAACATTCACGCATACGATCATACAGCGCTACCTGACGGAAATCCCAACGAAATACTCGAAACGTTTGGCAAACGTAAAAGCATTACAACGTTCATGATGTGCCATTTTGACAGGTCATAGCTCATTGGTGGAAAAAAAACACAGGCGATGACAGATAGCATTAGTCGTAACAAAAACACACAAACTACGCGTCGTATTTTTGTCGAAAAAAATCTATAATTTTGTTTCGAATTTTGTGCCGTAAAAGTTGAGAAATAAATCATGGGTTGTGATGGCGGAACTATTCCAAGACGCGATGAATTGGTGCGCGTTAAAAAGAAGCCAGAGCAGGTAATAAACGAATTTAAACGCTTCCTGATGCGGGAACAATTTACATATATTGATTGAACCCCATCATTTTGCTTAAATTCAATGCAATTTGAAATTCTTGTACATTTGTCTAAAAATGTGGAATTTCATTCGAACAATATTCGATTTTTTCTCAGAAAGTGTGTTCAAATATCGGTTTTGTCATCTTCAACAGAAAGACAAGGAGGCTGAAATGGCATATCGTTGGCGACACTGTGCTTTGACGCAAGAGCGTTTGCAAGAGCCGATTGTAATGTGTGGATTGGGACGACTGTATTCAAAGCAGAATGTGATTGAGCAACTTTTGGACAAGGATAACGAAATGCCCGATACATGTAAACATATCAAATCGTTGAAGGATGTTCGTGACTTGCACTTAACGCCAAATCCAATTTACAAGGATGAAGACAAAACCGAAGGACTATTAGACACACGTAGCGCACCATACATTTGCAAGTTAATCGGTTTAGAAATGACCGGTAAATTTCGATTCATCGCCTTGTGGTCATGCGGTTGTGTGTTTTCCGAACGTGCACTCAAGGAGATTGGAGCAAAAATATGTTCGTTGTGCCAAACCCCATTCACCGACGAAGACATTGTCATTTTGAACGGCACCGACAGTGAAATGGAAGAGATGGCCGAAAAAATTGAATTGCGCGCTGTACGTCGTAAAGCTGATAAGAAGAGTAAAAAAGAGTCGAAAAAACAAAGTGCAACATCGATACCAACGTCAACAGTAACATCGGCTACTTCAACGAGCGTTAAACCAGAACCCTTTGACGCAACCAGCGTATCAGAGCAAGATTTAAAGCCGATTGTGTCAATGAAAATCATAAAAACCGAACTGATAAAGCCAGAGTCATTGACGAATGAGGAGAAAGCGGGTCCATCAGGTAGCAGTAAATTGTTGTCAAAATCGATGAAACGAGTTGGTGCCAAAGAAGCCTTACTCGATCCAGCATTGAAAAAACTCAAGGAGGACAGTCAAGTACAGAATGATCCAAAGGCAACGGCCGTGTACAAATCTCTTTTCACATCGCATGAAAGTGCTCAACAACAGGATCGTGCCCATTGGGTCACATATAATCCATTTTATAACTAAACTGATTCCCGTTTCGTTTATGACTTCAATAAATCCTAATTCACTGTCACTTTTATACATTTTAAGCAAATACAATTGTACGACTGTCGAAATGTAGGCAATAAAACCGAATGATATACTGCATTTTAATTCCATTTTTAGCGCATGCAACGATAAAACAATGGAAATATCGACTTGTTCTGTATATGTGGTTCTTTTTTCTGGTTCAGTTTGGAAACATAACCTCAATTGTATTTTTTCTGATGTATTCGATTTTATCCGACACCAAATTGATCATCAATTGTATGTCGGTCCGAATGACGATGGCAGAAAAGGTATGTGAAAGAGAGATAGAGAGAGAGAGAGAGAGAGAGAGAGAGAGAGAGAGCGACTCATACAAGCGCAGTCTAAATGTCAAGTACAGTCGCAATTGATGAAATTCCAATGCAAATGGCAATAATCGTGGTGTGATATACATTCACGTCATACATTTACATAATAATTGAAGCGAACGTACGTTCCTCTCTTCGCTTTTTCATTTGTTCAGTTCACAGTTTTCGTGGCGAGAAGAAGAAAAAGTATTGGGAATCCAGGCAATTTAAGAGTAATTTGATTGGCATGTGTTAAGTGTATTAACTGTGTTTGCTATCGGCTTGGTCAATAACAAATGTAATTTTTTTTTTTTGCTTCATTTTTTTCATCGATAAATTTTTGTGGCAACGACGACGACGACAGCTTCACAGCACTCAGTTCAAACCACAATGAATATAAAAGAAAAGCAGAGTCACCCAATAAATGTTTGCGAATATTTTAGATAAACATTGAACAGTCCCGGTTTTATATTTGATTCGCTTGAACGAAGCAAACCAGCTCATTCACAGTGCAGCGTTTATCAAGACAACACCACACTCATTCTGGTCGTAATGAAAGTTGAAGCGAGAGAAGAAAAAAAAAATTGAAAAGCCAGTCGATCGAACGAAATCAAAATTAACATCGTACACAACATACACAAAATAAACATACAATCACCGTGTGTAAACATACACATAGACAAACAACGAGGCAGACACGCACGCAACCAAGAATCAGTGGCCAAAAATCAAAATACGCACAACAAGAGAGTGAAAAGCAAAAGACAGGAGAAAGAGAGAGCGCGTACACACATACGGGCGCTGAGAGAACCGAAAAAAAGAGAGAGAGGAAGAGAGAGTAAAGAGGGAAAAAACGCAATCCAACAATGACAGTGAAACGCAGTTCATTTCATTTAGTGCATACATAAAGAGACAACATAAGGTCTTTTGTTACTCACTTTCGTGCACATTGGTCACGACTACATACCCACACACACGAACACAACAACACAGACAGCGAACAAAACACACGGCAGAACGAGAGAGAGAGAGAGAGAGAGAGAGAGAGAGAGAGTGAAGCACACTGTGAGCGAACATTGTGGTGGCAAACACACATTGAAACGCATTTAAAATGTCATCTGTCAACGAAGAAAATCCTCAACAATTTTGATAGTCAACCAAAAAGAAAATTCGATTCGACATTTATTTCATCAAGAATTCCTACTCTCCTTTTTCTTCAGTTCTTCGTTCCGTTGTTTCGGTTGTTTGAATCGTTTTTTGTGTGTGTATATTTTCCCGATTTTTTTCCTCGCGCATTAAATTAAGACACAAGATAATATTCAGTGAATTATTTCGAGTGGCCATTTAAGTGTACTTTAGTTCTTACCCAAAAAAAAGAGTGTTTTTTTAATACCAATTCTTCCGTCTCCGTATCGTAACAAACGAATTCCTTTAGACTGATTGACGAGTTAAAACTTGAGTTTTTGTTTTTTTACATGTGAAATTCGACCGATAGGAAAATGTGTGATTAATTTGTAGTTTGATAGAACATTTCAAGTCATTGTGACAGCACAAAAATTGCACGAAAGAACAAAACAGAACGGAACATTGTGACCTCATACACTCGAATCGGATGAATTGCGCTGAACGATAGCCAAATTCTAACGCTAGCAAGAGGTGAGTAATAACAAGACATCACCAGAGAAGATGAAAAAACAACTGTTTCTCCGAATTCGAAATTTGTTTCTATTTTTTTTTATTGAACTGAGCGTGTGAATCGCATCGAAGCCAATTAAATTGATGAATTTTATTTACATTTCACGCGTCAACTGTTTTATATGTTTGTGCGAGATATGTGTGTGACTAAATACAATTTTTTTTTCGCTCATTCTAATTTCTATGTGGTGATTGCTTTGCAGCTTATTTTTCACCAAAACTCATATCACACGCAACTGTGAGTACATTCGAAACATTTGTCTCTCACTCTCGGTACACCGAGAAAAATGCGGTCAAGATGCGATCAAAATACATATATCCTGAATGTCGTCTGCTTTTTTGATTGAGTTTACAGTCGTTTATTTGATTTGTTACTGTTCTTTGAAGTTTCTTTGAGTTTTTAAAGAAGAAAGAGAATAACAAATACATTTCTGTTTTCTATTTGTTCAATCGAACATCATATTATTGTGATTATGATAATTTTTCAATAAATTGTGTCGCATATTAGAAATGGGCGCACGAGTTATCGTTCCTCTTCATCTCAGCTCTCTTCAATATTCCTGTGGTTTTCCTGTTCGCTCATAAAACTAATTTGAATGCATGTCAATTAAGGTAAATTGTGTGTTGTTTTTAACACACTGAATAAAGAAAAAAACGTGTTTCATTCTCTGTGACATATCAGACCGAATAAACAAGTTTGTCTATAGACCCTATCGATTAAATTCGGCACACTATGCGTCGCTCTTTCTCTTACGTAGTTTTTTTCCCGTCTGTGTGGTAACGAGATTTTTGTTTTGATCGCTCAGCTCAATCGTCGCTGTTTGTTTCAATGTCGTCATTTTCCATCATTCCTCATACGCAGTTGGACGTTGACGTTCGGTCGATTTTCGGGTTTTTTCTACGCTGGTCTGTCCTTTGCGAACGATTGTCGTGTACGACATTCGTCAAATGCGAACGGGAAGAGGAACAAAAAAAAGGTTTGTCACAAGTTTGGTTGCATGTCTTGTTCTTCCTTTTCCATATATTCATTTCGGTTCATGGAATCGCTGCGTTCGCCGCGGTTCGATACAACATGTTCATATTTTTTCGAAAATTCACCCGAAATTCACCGTCTGTTTTATTGAACGAAGAATAACGACAAAAAAAAACATTGATTGAATGAAGATTTGAGCAACTTCACGTTTCCAGTAAAAAAACAGATCAAATAGAGTTGCCAAATGGTACAGTCAATATAGTGTTTTTGATTAATAACAAATCAGATGGCGATAACAGTGCGATTCAAAATCAAAGCAAATAAATCAAAATGATAATAAAGTAGAAAAAATTAGCATTCAATTCGATCAACCGAAGGAGAAAAAAACGCGTTTCAACAAGTGATCTGTGTATGCGTATAAAATAACACGTCAATAGAAATCATATTTAAAAATAGGCACATTTATTTATTATTTTCCGTGTGGATTTACTCTTGATAACTAGAATATGTTTAGCTGAGTCGAGAGATAGAGAGATCGAGAGGGAGATGATCGGTTGTCGGATGATTTGTGCTGGCGGTTAACGCAGTCGTGATCTTGAAATACAATTAGTTGATTGTTAATTCGTAATATCTATGCAATATCTACCGTCAATGGCTCTTCGCAATTTTTTCTACACACATGTGATTCACTCAATCGCGCGCTCAATAAATGCCATTTAGCTTATTTTATCGCATGCAAATTGAACTAACAAAACTCTTTGACACAGTCGATTTCATCAGCCCACTGCCGCGGTCGCCACTACCGCCATCGTTGCTGTCGCCATCAATATTTGCAATGATACTTTCTTGTTAGTTTCTATTGGAATAGCATTATTACGAGAAAAAAAAAATCGAATAACTCACACATACATTTCGATTAGACGAGTTCGGTGTGTATGCGAGAGTGTGAGCACGCTCATTCTTCTCTTTCGAGTGTTTTGGAATTGAAAAAAGTGATATTGCAAAAATGCACATAAAACAAATTAGCGGCAGTGAGTCGCACGATAACCGCACTCACACACCGATGAAATGCCAATAAATAGAGGCAATTGATTGGAAAAATAATATATTTATGAAATAACATGTGAACGTGCGGATTGGCAGTTTAAGAAAAGCAGGCACATTACGCGCGCGGCTCTTGAATTAAAAAAAATAAAACGAATCGCACAAGATATATATTTGACAGTCGAGGTATTTAGTACTACGTTACATCAATTAGGAAGTCGGAAATGTGCATTTTATAAGTATTGTGTCTCGCTGTCTACATACGCCAAATAGAATTAGTGCTATTTCGCGCGTTATACGGGCACCACGCTCTTTGCTACCTCGCGCTGTGCGTTTAGAATATTTTTCGTTTATTCGGAGTTTCAATCGTGGTCGTTAGTTCCATATATAATTTGATTAAATGTGGTGTGTGATCACGTTGCTTACATGAAAGAGTGGAATTTGTGATTTTAACACATTTTGATAAAGGTAACATACATGCAAAAATAAGAACGAATCGATTTATTTATGTCTCTTTGCACATTTTGCATGCATTCGAAACGTGTTCAATATCCGTTTTCGTTCGAAAGGTTGTGCGAGAGAGAGAGAGAGAGCGCGTTGTGCTTTATTTGGCTGGGTTAAATATTGGCCAAAGCATTAATTCCGAATTCATTAAGTCAAATAATATTAAACGCTTTATCATCAACGACAATGACGGCGGTGGCGGCGACAAGCAAGTAAACTTCAAAAAAAATTAGTTCAATACGAATCACATGCCAACGCTCCAATGACATTCCCAAGGGGTCATTCCACATATATATAGAAAAACAGATGGCTTTTTTGAGGCATTTTATTTTTTATTTTCGAATAAATAATAATCTCAATCTAACATTGGTTATTCACAGTTTTCATAAACAATCTGCACTTGCTGCCGATCGATTCGTTGATATTTCAATCGTTCGTTCGCTTTTTTTTTTCACTCGCTTGACTTTGCTCCACTTTGTACTTTGCCTATCCACAAATAGAAATTGTAATCTACGTTGAATCCCATTTACTTTTCTCACTTTTCCGATAGTAATAATTCCGTTTATTATGCCGCAAGCCAATCCCCGCTCACGTCGGCTCTTCATCGAAACCATAATAATAACGCGCGAACGAAAGGAAAACAGAAAAAAAACCTCAAAAGTTTACATTTTTTTTTCGATGAGTGTGTATTAGAAATATAATTTATTTTTATAATTTCTTTATCTATCGCTTTTTGATATAGATTACGATTGGAAATTGCGACAACACAATAATTCGATTGAAACAAAACGGACTGAAGCTTCGTAGCAGCAACAGTAATAGCGACAGCAAATGACAATGATTCATCACAATAATCAACACGAAATTTGCAACTATAATTAGACGCGGCGCGAAATCGACAGATAAATAATACAAAGCGAAAGAAAGGAACGAGCGAAAACACGCAAGAAAAGTGCATTTATCGGTGGTTTGATTATGTGTTAATCAGTTTTTCTTCCTTCAATTTTTTTTGCTAAATCGAAAGAAATTGTCTCTGTGTTACACACAGACATAAACAAACAAAATTATTATTTCTTTTTTTTTTGTTCATAATTTGCTGCCACCGCACTCTACTCATTAATATATGGTTTGTTGATTTTGCATCGACGATTAGCGTAAATAGTATATAAACATGTGAAATAAAAATCATTAATTCGCGTTGTGTGAACGAGAGAGTGTGTTACTTTCAATACGTCGAACACGGAGTGACATGACAAAGGAGTGCAAAAACCGTGTGCAAAATAAACCACACAAACTGTCGCACAAAAACCAGAAGAGAAAAAACACGAAAACACACAAATTAGATTGTTAGGCTGATTAGCGATCGACAAAAATATAAATACCAAAAGAAAAAGAAGTAAAGTCAACACAAGAAATCGAATAGACTGCAATAACCAACCAAGAAATTCCAAAGAATTTCAATTTAAATTTTTATTATTGAACTGAATACCCGCGAGCACACCACACACACACACACACACACACATTTTCAGAGCCAGTTTGAGCCATCAAACACTCACCACAAAGTACTTAGAAAGTTACAAACGAAATTCCAAACAATGGGAGTATGCTTGTGTAAAAGTAAAACATCAGATGATCTACCCGATAATCTGTCACAAAGTGGACGGCACAGCATGGATTATGGACGAACCTATGGACGACAAACAGAACATTGCAATGAAAGTCTCTCCGAAACGGTCGATCGTCTAGTGAAGGAAACCCTTAAAGTAATCGGTACAATCGTTGACAACGAACCCGAACCACCCAGTTCAATGGTAAGAAAATCATCTGTGCATGATTGACGTCACACTGTTTGTTTGTTTTCATTTCATTTGTTTGGGTTTTCATCAGTGATTGCGATATCGCTCTCAGTATCTCATAGGATAACTGAACCAGATAATTCAGCTGGCTGAGATGACGCAGCGACGCATCACCTGAGTCTGTGCGATACACATACACACAATGCGCCCAGCGGTATCCTTATACACTCAGTCCCATTTAGTGACGCGCGGCATCAAATTGTGTGTGTGTGTGTGTGTGTGTGTGTGTGTGTGTGTGTGTGTGTGT